GTAACAACATTCATAATTAAGTAAAGATAACACCCTTTTCACCCCGGTTACATTTTCCATTTGCCCTGTACGATGGGCGCTGTAAGTGATGAAAGTGGGGGATGTTGGCTTATCAGGCGCCCGCAGCTCACAGCCAGCTTAAGAGAAAGAGAGATAGATAGAGAGAGGGGGTGCACCGGTACCGGATTTAAGAAGCTGTTTCTACAATAATGTGGAGGGAGAGCTCTCCTCTCAGACTGAGAGGCACAGTGAGGTTTTAAAGGACTCTGAGTGTTTAGATAGTTCACTTTAGTCTAAGTTGTCTCAGTGGGTCTCAAACGTTTTGATCACAATTTATGTAAACACATATTTCCAAGGGACTTCTTTATAATTATTAGGATAAATAAAAACAGGTTTGAATTTTGAGATCGTTCCAATGTATAGGCTACTGTACAGTAAACCAGACATATTGTTCAAAACTGGAGAGATTTAAAAATATGCATAAATAAATAAATGTTGAGTGGTAAAATAAGATATAAATGAACCACAAAAATAAAACAAGTTAGCCTACATTTATTTGTTATTGGCTATGGTAGGTTATCGGTTATGTTCACATACTTATTTGATTATTAAAATGCAAACCGATCTTTTTCATATGGGTGTTTTAGAGTTGTATCCCCTAGATCAGTCTCTAGTAATTGTGTGCTCAAAGTCCACCAGATTGAAGCATTTTACTTTAAAATGTGGAAAAAAATCTTCCCAGGGGAGCATACCCCCGGACCCCCCAAGAGGATGTGAAGTCCACCCCCCAATTAAAACATGTTCAAGTAATACTGAATACATTTGAAGCCTTTTTATATAAGCTGTCCACCATGTCAATACGTTTCTCTGTTTGTAGTGTATTGGTCTTTTGTAGAGGTTTTTCATTGGCAGCTAAAATCTTGCCTAGGGCAGCAAATTGGTCAAAACCGGCCCTGGTGTCATCCCCACAGCACCCCCCATTTGAAACATGTTCCCACGGCTATGATAATAGGTGATGTAACATTACTGAGTCCAACAGGATCAATCTCATGAAGGACTATTGGCAGAAAAAATAATAACAAACTGGAGAGACGGCTGGGTGACCGCAGTGCAGAATCGCTGTAGTTGAAGTCTCCTAACAATGTTGTCCATTTTAGACATAGGCCTATTATATTTACAGCCCTTAATAACATTCATTATCTGGGCTCAAAGTGTGTCTTGGCCGTTTGCATTGTGATAGCTAAATTCCCCTTGATTATAATAATCACAGTTCCTTCCACAGGATACTTAGACCCTCCAGAACAACGCGGGCAAAAATCCTTTATTATGCGGGCTAAATTCCTTGATTATGCGATTAAACATGCAGAGTTTTTATGTGATTTTATGCGGTGAAATTGTGGGAAATTGCGAAATATGCGGAAAGTTGCGAAATATGCTAAATATGCGTGGGAAAATAATAACAATTTTTTTAAATATTGGGTTGTCTTATTTATTCTCTCTCACACACAACCTGCCACTAACGTTAAACCCCTTTACTATTCAATTAAATACATTCAATGTTTATTTATTGTAAAAGCAATTGGGCTATTTTAATCTCACACACACCCCCCCACACACACACACACACACACACACACACACACACACACACACAGCATGACACAAATCTGTCATTTCATGTTATGAAGAGAAGAGAAAGGAATCAACTAAACATCTCCTCTCCTTCTCTTCCTGCTGCCTCAAAACACAGAGACACACAAAACACACAAACACACACACACACACACATTATAATATATTAGACTGTTTAAACTATTATGTAGAACACAAACACAAACAAGGTCTCAGTTGGACTATTGTTCTGTGGATAGATCTGTAAGGTCTGTAAGATACAGTAGGAATTAAAGGAAACACTTCCAGAGCAAAA